GGAGAAAGCCAAGCATGGTGTGGACTTGCAATCAGCAATAAACAGAGACCAGGGTCTTGCTGGCTGGTCAGGTCAACCTAGCCTAAGCCATGAGCCCCAGCTTTTAGTAAAAGAGCTTGTCTCAAAAAACAAGGTGGGGACTAGAGAGAAGTTAAGAGTACATAGTGCTCTTGCAGAAGTCCTAGCACCTATGACAGGTAGCTCACAACCATCTGTAACTCACAGAATCCAAGGACACCAACACCCACATGTACATACTGACATGTGCAAAGACACACATACAGCACTCGGGAGGCAGAGGCAGGCGGATCTCTGTGAGTTCGAGGCCAGCCTGGTCTACAAAGGGAGTTCCAGGACAGGCTCCAAAGCTACAGAGAAACTCTGTCTCGAAAAACCAATAATAATAATAATAATAATAATAATAATAATTTTTTTAAAGAGAGGAGAGGTGAAAGGCTCTCCTAAGTATTGGAATGATACCTGATCCTGACCTCTGGCTTCTACATATACATGCACACATGGCATATGCACACAAATAAAAAAAAAATTTAAAACTCCATGTATACAATAAGGGAAGAAGGAGAGAACTCACTCTGAAAAATAAATAAATAAGAAGAAATAACCAAAAGATTTAAAACTTGATAAACTTTTTCACTAAAAAAATGTTACCAGACCATGAGATGACTCAACAGATAAAGGCTTTAGCACTACGGCCAATAACTTGACTTTGATACCCGGGATCAAAGTGGCGTCAAAGAACCTGTGCCCGTAAATTATCCTCTGATTTCTGCACACATCATTTCATAAAGTACACACACACACAAATAAATAAGTGTAACAATTTATTTATTTTTTTAATGAGTTGGATGTAGTGGGGGACATCTTTGATCCCAGTACTTGGTGGGACAGAGAAAGGCAGATCTGTCTGAGTACAGAGCCAGCCTGGTCTACAAAAACAGCAAATTCCAGGCCAGCCAGGCATACATAGTAAGATTCTATCTCAAAAAACAAGAAAATTTAATGTCACCAAATATTCCTTAAAGGTATACGGCTGCCTTTTGTGATATTCTACATATAAATTAAGCCATTTCCATTACAAAATTTTATTGTAATTTTACCTATTCTATTCGAGTTTACAGAGGATACTATAAAGCTTTCTAGTAGGTTTAAATATCTTTTGTGTTCCCCAATATTATATATAGAAATTAATTTCATATAAAATTCATTAACTGGAGCTACAGGTGTAAGTCAGTAGCAGACTGCTTGCCTAGCCTGGACTCCATTATAGAAATCACAAAACAAATAACAACAACAAAAAGAACAGTTATTATACTTGCAAAGATTCACAAGAAAACTTCATAGATATTTTTATTGATGATACACAAGAATACATAATTATAGACTTCAATTGTGGATAATTTCCTGAAATTGTCTGCTTCTACTACAACCGTTAGCTTTGTAGTTATAACTATCCCTCACAAGGTAGTACTGGCATCCATAGAAAACACAAATAAAACATTTTTAAAATCAGAACACTGAGGGATCAGATTGCAAATTTATTAACACAGTTTCAAAGTTAGATAAATACATGAAAAGACTAATTTTTCCCTTTTAAAAGGAACAATTCTTCTGAATCGGTATTATTTTTGAGTCAGTATTATTATGTAAAGAAATATATCTTTAAACATAATAAACCTACATTTCTCCTTTCTGTTGACATCAAGGTAGGAAGTTTTAGTCCTCATTCAAAATGTGATATTTCCACAGAGCGCCCATGCACACTGACTTCTAATGATTCTAAGTGGAAAGTACTCACAAGCTACAGAATTTAGTCAACCTGGGGAAAGTAATTTGAAGTAACAGGATTTAACCTATATAGTCTTCGTAAAAGTTTTGTTTGCTCTTATTTTCTCTAAAAACTTTTGTGTTGTGATTTTTTTGTTTGTTTAAGAGTCTTACTATGTACTCAAGCTAGCCTCAAACTCAAGATTTTCCTGCCTCCACTTGAGTGCTGGTTTTACAAGAGTATACTCTGTTATACAAAAACAAACAAACAAATAAACAAAAACACATTATAAGGGGCTGAAGAGATGGCTCATTGGTTAAGAATGCTTGATGCCTGCTCCTATAGAGGTCCTTAGCTCAGTTCCCAGCACCCACATGGGGTGACTCAAACCACTATAACTCTAGCTCCTGAGGATCTGACGTGCCCTCTCCCTACACTGATGGCACATGTACGCACATGCACCCATACACACAGACTCAATTAATGAAAAAATAAAAATATCTTTCAAATTTTTCCATTGTGAATCTTTTAAAGGATTTTAAAATTCGGTGGCTCATGTCTGTGATCCTAGAACTTAGGATACTGAGGCAGGAGGATTGACGAGTTTGAGGCCACCCTGAGCTACACATTAAAACCTTTTCTCAACCAAAAATTTAAGACTGGAGAGATGGCTCAGCAGTTAAGAGCACATGCTGCTCTAGCAAAGGACCAGGGTTTAGTTCCCAGCACCCACATGGTGGCTCACAATTGCCTATAATTCCAGTTCCAGGGGTTCCAACACCCTCTTCTGGCCTCCATGGGCATCATGCATACATCCAGGCACTCACATGTATACATAAAATAAATCTTTAAAACAAAATTAAAAGAATAAAATGCAGTTATTATAGAACTATCCGGAAGTTTCTTCCTTTCTACCTTTAACAACCCCTCATTCCAGGATCATACTATAACTTGGAAACACTAAGGAAGTACAGAGAATTCTTAGTGGGATGTAAGAATCAAACTGAGTTCAAAGTGACGTTATAAGCTAGAGAACAATATTTACTATCAGACTATATGCAAATGACTCACTTTGCAATGCTTTTAGAAAACTGATCATCTGGATTAAGTCACACAAAACATTAAGAGGGATGGGCTTCTAGTTTTTCATATTACAAGGTGATTAACGTCAAAATGCTTCAAATAATGAAATGAGATATCTTCTTCTATACTTACTACGACAAATTAAGGTCAGAGAAATAAAAAACTCAAAGCACCTGGTTCTCAAATGCAGTGTAATTCATTCTTTATCTAGGAAATCCAAATAAATGAGACAATGTTTGTTTGTGTCCTTCTCGGGGTCCCTGAAATGATCATGGACACGTCCATCACCCCATACACTAACTCTGATACAAAAAGAGGAATATGTGATTTGAATATGATCTGGATCATCCTCTAAATCTGATTTCACTTGGAACTTGACATTTTAATCACTCTAAAAATAGGCACCTCTTGGGGCTGGAGTTACAGCTCAGTAGTAGTGTGTTTGCCTAGCATGCCAGAGGCCCTAGGTTCAATCCCCAGCACTGGGAGGTGGGGGAAGGGACAGAAACTCTTCTGCCCTGTTTGCTCCCTTCAAGTTTGAAATGCTTTCAAATCCATTTCTGTCCCGAAGACAACCACTTAAACCGACTCTTCAATTTAAAATGTTTTAAATAAGAATCTTTATTAGAGTTAACTGCTCTGAACTCTCAGAAAGATTAAAGCTTAGAAATTAACAAAATGAACCATATTCATTTTCATATTTTCAATATTTCAATATTAAAGTTGTATATCATAATCACCCATTTATCCAACTCATTCTTTCTAAAGTATACACAAAGCACTGATATTTTTCAAATAAGCATAACTTTTCAATTCAGTGTCCCTATATTCAGGCACATAATAAATATGCATTTTACACTTACTTAAGAATTATAGTACGCTTTTTAAAAAATAAACACAGAATTCATTCACGCTCAATAACTGGAAGGAGACTGTTCTATATAAAACACTGTGATGTACCAGTTTTCAAAGGGAAATAATCCGAATATGTTGGTTTTACCTTGGGCGAAGAGAGCCAGATGCTTGGGTTTGTATATGGATGTGTGCCTGCCCCTGTGAAACATCCTCCTTTCAACTTATTTAGAAAAATCAGTATTGCCTTTAGTAAATAAAAGCATATACTGTACAATAAAATACATAAGGATATGTGCTCCCAGAATGCTATAATGATCTAAAAAGCCCCAAAAGTGGTTTAATATTCTGCATAGCGAATCAATGTTAAACAATGTCGTTTTTTCCTTTCTCCCTGATCACTCCACAAATCAGGTACACTTTAGTTAAATACTTAAAAAGATTAGCAAACTAACTGGAAGCTCAAGACAAGAGTAGATGAAAAGAACCAGTTTCCATTTTTGTACAAACAAAAAGATAAAACAAAAGCGAATCGAAGACGTGTTAAATGAAAAGCATTTGAAACATCCAACGTGACTGGCTTTTGATTTACCCCGTCTGACAAGGAAGGCAGACCCCGCCCCCACTCCAGATTGTGTGGCTTTTTTCCCCCTTTCCCATGGATGGGGGTGTAGAGAAGAGAAGCTGTCACATTTCCATCTTCGGTTATTGTTAATCTGCAGCCTAGATTCCCAGGCATTACTGGCCCAGGGGAAAAAATATTAAAACGGAAAATTAAAATTGTCTAAAATGCACAGTATTCTGTTGTTTTTTCCTATGTGAAAGTTAATTACACCCGGATTCAATCTGCTGTAACTACAGATTGGCTGTGACAGCCTGTCCCTCAAATTCTCCCTCTAAGACCTATTTCTCCAGATTCACTAACGATCCCTTCTCCTCTAAACTTAAATCAGTAAAACGCGTTTCGAAAATTGTTGCATCCAAAAGGGCACCCATCTCCCCATCCTTATGCCTTTAGTGTGGGGAAGAGAGAGAGAGAGAGAGAGAGAGAGAGAGAGAGAACCCCCTATTCGCTCTTCAAACAAAAAGAAATGGGGCAGCCGGTGAGGGGAAAGAACAGAAGTGGACCTGAAGGAAACGTTAGGAAAAGTTTTTTATGTGACTTTTTTATCCTTCGGCGGGGACACAGGAGTTGGGCAGAAAGCCGGGGTTGCGATCCCTGGCTTGGGAGGCACCTGCAGAAGAGGCAGGGGACGGAGAGGGGCCGGGCAGCACCTACCGACTTGCAGCACGTTCTCCACGGAGCCGCTGTCCAGCAGACGGATGCCCCGGCGGAACGGCAGCCCCTCGCCGCCAACGCCGCTCGCCACGCCAGTCCCAGTGCCCAGCCCGGGGGACGCGCCTGCCCCGGCGGCCCCGGGGGCGGAGCCGGCCGGAGTGGCGGTCCCCGGGGGTGGCGGCGGCCCCTCCTCGACCGGCGAAGACCCCGTGGCGCCGGCAGCCGCTCCGGCGCCCGGGCCGCCCCGGTACTGGAAGCTGGAGTACATGCAGATCTCCCGCTCATTCCGCGGGAAGGACCAGTAGACGATGCGGCGCTGCACCGGCTCGGGGATCCGCTCGAAGCGCTCCTCCACACGCTCGTACGCCCACTTTTCTGCCACCGTCTTGGCGGCGCAGTCCAGCAAGGACTCGGGCTGCAGGTGGGGGCGGGCCCCGGGGGCCAGGCAGCCGCCGCCACCGACCCCCACCCCTCCGCCCGCCGCCCCGGGAGTCCCGCGGGGGTGGTGAGCTTGCGGGCTGGGCCACGAGCACAGCCGCTTGGCCGGAGAGATCGGCGGCGGCGAGAGCAGCTCCTCTCGCTCACCTCCTTCCGCCATTGCTGGGGACTGACTGACTGACTGAGGCGGAGGCGGCGGCTCGGGCTGCGGCGGAGACCCCGGCCACGGCCACGCGCCCCGCGCAAGCGCCCAGCGGCGGCGCTGTGGGGAGGGGGCGGGGCGAACGAACCCACGAGCTCGCCGGCCCGAGTGGGAAGCCGGGGCCGGTCCCGTGCTCGCGCCGCTTGGGCCCGCGCTGGTTGGCCTGGAGGAGCAGCGCGAGGCGACGCGCGCCGTCCGGGCCGCCGCGGGCGCGAGGAGACGCGGGAGCGAGCGCAGGCTGCCCGCGCGCTCCGGGCGCCGCCAGCCCGGAACACAAGCCGAGCGCTCGCGCGGGGCGGCCGGGGACGAGGAGCGCCCGGGACCAGGTGCCTCCGGCCCACCTGCCGCCCGGCCTGCCAGAGAGGAACGGGGGCGGGGGAGAGGGGGCCCGGTGAAAAGACCCGGCCGCCAGCCGTCGCCATGAAGAGATAGGCTTGCGGGGCATGAGGAGAGGAAAGAACTCCAGACCAGGCTCCTGCGGCAAGACGGAATTGACAGGCGACTGTCGCAGCTGACGGAGCACCAGCCGAGCAGAAAGACGCTCGGAAGGAAGACTCCGGGGTGGGAGTGGAGGGTGGAATCAGAAAGTTCGAGAGAGGAAAACTCTTCTCATGCCACAGTATAAGATAGCGTCGGCGCCCCCCGCCAGCTCAGAAACTGGCCAAGTCCACCAGCCGGTCCGAACAATGGGGCGCCAGGACCTCACCGCTGAGGCAGCAGCACCCTCCTGGGGCTTTTTGAGGGGTTTAGCACTTTGCATCCAATGGAAAGAAAGAACAGCACTTTCTGTGTAGTTTTTAATAAAATTCTCTGATCCTTGCCTCTGATTTAAACTGGTATTTTTATGTTTTTCTTGTCTGCCTTCTATTCCCCTGAATTACTTACCTAAAAATTAATGCGGTTTTGTTGTTGTTGCTGTTGTCTTGTTATTTACTGTCTAACTGCCCAACCAGGAGTAAACTCCGTGGCCGTGAAGGTCGTATCCATTTTCTTCACTGCTGTGTCTTCTCACCCAGGTGCATTAGTGGGTGCTCAAGAATGACAGCTACGACCGTAGCTTCTCCAGAAGCAACACAGAGATGTAACTGATGTCTTTTACTCAAATCGTAGAATTTGCTGACAAACTAATCACTCCATCTTTTAAAAAGTTCCAAGAACTGTGTTAGAAGACTTCCTATAGCTGAGTTCAGCTGGAGAAAGAAGAAGAAAGAAACAAAGAAGAAGAGAAGAAAGCCTGGGGCAGAAAACTGCAGGCTGTCACTTAGACATGAATCGCTCTTGCTAGTTGTGTGGTATTAATCACGACGCAATTGATTTGTAAAAGGGAGCTGGTAACAATGTCTGCATATAACTTGTAAGAATTAAAAAAAGAGGTCAATTGCTTCTTTCATAAATGGGTAGTTGCCATTATGTCTGCAAGTATACTTGGATCACTATGAAGTATCAATCACTACTTAAATGCCTCTCCTTGAATCTTGGACCACACATAACACCCGTTCTTTTCAGAGTGTGTGTGTGTTCTTTTAATGTCTGTCTTGATCCCACTATTAGATTTGTAGGGATAGAAACCATTTCAAAGTAAAGGATGATTCTCACCAGCCATAATGCTTAAAATGGAAGCTGTGGGACTGGAGAGATGTCTCAGTGGTTAATAGTATACTGACTGCTCTTCCAGAGGGCCTGGGTGCAATTCCCAGCACCCACATGGCGGCTCACACCTGTCTGTAGCTCCAAGATCTAACACTAACACAGACATACATTCAGGCAAAACACCAATGCAAATAAAGATAAATAATTTTTTTAAAAATGGAAGCCACATAAAGAATATTTCATTAAAAAAGAAAAGAAAATGATGATAGACATTAGAGAAAAAGAATATTTCATTTTGAATCAACCAATGTGTTAATTTGATTTCATCGGATGTTGATAAGCATGATTAATACATGGTTGGATGGAAGAAATGTTACTTAAACATAGTAACAGCAAAGTTTGATTTAAGCAGCTTTAAAAAAAAACTTTTTTTTTTTTTTTTTTTTGGTTTTTCAAGACAGGGTTTTTCTGTGTAGCTCTGGAGCCTATTCTGGCACTAGCTCTTGTAGACCAGGCTGGCCTCAAACTCATGGAGATCCCAAGTGCTGAAATTAAAGGTGTGCACCACTACTGCCTGGCTTTAAAAATTATTTTTGAGGATATGGCAAAGTACAAAGAATAACATATCTACACTCATCTATATGGCTTATATCCATCACTCAAAATTAATCATTACTATTTACTATATCTAAGATCCCTTCAACCATCTCTGTATAACTTCTTCAGAAGCAACTATAATTTGAATTTATAGTCTATTTCCAACGTGCATGTGTATAACAGTTTTGTATATTTTTGTTTAATCAAATGGTTTGACTCCGTACTCTTCTACCGGTGTCTTATTTCTTTCTATATATGATTAAAAAAATTCTCAGGCATTTCCAGGCCCCACAAAACAGTCTGTTTTAAGAATATATCATATTCTGAGGCTGAGGCGATGACTCAGTTGGTCAAAGACCTGCTTCACAAGCATGGGGAGAGCGATGACTTGGTGGTTAAGAGATTATACTACTTTTGCAGAGAACCTGGGTTTGGTTTCCAGCACTCGTATCACCACGGCTATCTGTAACTCCAGTTCCAAGGGGCTCTGATGCCCTCTTCGAGCCCACTAGGGCACCAGTCATGCAAAGGTGCACATACACACATACAGGTAAAGCATGCATATACACAAAAATGTTAAAAATGAGCAAAATTTTAGATTCCCCAGCACCCTCATAAAATCCCAAGTGTCTATGACCCCAGTGCTAAAGTGTACTGAGATAGGTAGCTGCTCAGACTGACTAGCCAGCCCAGCAAAACTGATGAGCTCTGGGTTCAGTGAAAGATTGTCTCAAAAATTAAGATGGAGAACAATCAAGGAAGACCCTCCATACACACACACACACACACACACACACACACACACACGAATTTATCACATTTCAGGGCCAGCAAGACAGCTCAGTGGGTAAAGGTACCTGCCTCCAAATCTGAGTTCAATTCCCATGATCAACATGGCAAAAGAAGATGCTACCCAAAGATGTTCCCTGACCCATGCTTGGACTCTGTGACATGCCCCCAAACAAATAAATCACAAAACTTTAAAAAAGAGTATGTTACAGTTTGAACATAGCACGGTGGTTTGTGCCTGCAATGTTGTTGTTTCAGAGGCTAAGGTAGATGGATTGCCATTTCAAGACTAGCCTGAGCTAGACAGTGAACTAACTTTGTTTGGAGATCCTATCTTCAAAGAAAAAAAGGAGGGGGGTATCTCACAATTTTTTAAAACATAATGCCCCTACTTGTTAGCTATAAATACTGAAAGAAGTGACTTAAACCTTATCTGCATCAGCTTTCTCATTTGTACAGTGAAGTGAAGCATTCTTATCTAATAAGGTTGTTTTATAATTAATATATGTGGATTGTATAGAATAATACCTACTACATGCTTACTTAAAAAGTGTTAACTATTTATTTCACTAATGGTAAACATTAGTATTTTCTTTTTTACAAATAGTATTTCAATGAACATTCTTCTCTGGGTGCCCTTACGTCGTATATTCTAGAATCTTTCCTGAGAATGGAACTAGAATGGAACTTCATTGTAGGAGAGAAACGCTTTCCCTTGTAGAGTTTGTAACTAGTGCCGAGTCACAAATTCCTGCGGAATCTAGAGGTGTCAAATAACGGCCATGTATCGCCTCTCGCGGTTTTTGTGAGGGAAGGCATTTGGGAGTACCTCAGCCTTTTGATTCTGTCTCAGGATCGCTCGCGTAGCTCGCATCAGATATTGGCTGAGGATGCAATCATTTGAGGGCTTCCTTTGGCCGTCAAGTGACTGGAAAATTTAGGTAGGTCTGTTAAGGAGTTCTCTCCAATAGATTGGTTTCCCGTAAAAAGAACTGGAAGCAAAGCCGACGCCACAATACATTTATGCTCTAGCATCGGAGTTCACACGCCATCACTACTGCATCTAGCCTATCCTGACTTCAGTGTCTGAGAAGACTATACCGGAAGAGGGAGATTGAAAGGAACATATTGGATGTTGCCTGCCACAACCAACTCTCACTAGCACTGCATGTGAGTGCTATTGTTCTAGGCATAAGGAATAAAAACACCTTAATGGAGGCTATTCTAGAACTGTGGAGAGATGCAGAACAAGCTACAGAAAGATAAAGAGGCAGAGAAATCTAGTAATAACAATTCTGTAATTGGTGCAGGATTTTTTTTTTTTGCAGTTTTTAGCTGGGGAAAAATAACATTGCTGAAAAGAATTTATTGAATTGTGTCCATTTTAATTCAACTGGCCTCTAAATGCTGCTTTGTAACTCTGTTGTGTATCCCTAACTGATTGGTATTTTATCCTCTTTTACTATATCAAGGAAGACTGAGAAGAGCTGTGTCTTAAGGCCATGAGCAAATGACCAGAACTCAAATCCATGGTGTTAAATTCAGAATCCAGTGAAATTTCCTGTCGGTGTCACGGTTTTCTCAAAGAATTTGGTAAGGACAGCATCAAAATGACCATAGATTATCTCTCCTGAACACAGATTTGTATTTGACAAAGAAAGGCAGGAATGACAATTAGAACTTCCAGTGAAGTATGGGAACCATTCCATTGTCTACTCCAAGTGGGGAAAACTGAAAAGGAAAGTGGGGGGCAAAAACAAAAGGAAGGAGAAGACAGAAGGGAAAGGAGACGCGGACTGATATGTGGCTAGAGACATTAGATATATAAGCAAATGGGATGTTAATGACACCCGAAGTAAAGCCTCCTTAGTAGTGGTGTGTGGGCTGAGTATGGAGGTGGGTGGGGTTATTGAGAGCCAGGTGACGTCACTGCTGACATCTGCCAGCTCCTTTCAAGACAATCCTATGGCCTCAATGAAAAT